AACAGTATGTAGGAGATAACTCATCTCAACTTGGTGTAGTTTGAATCAATATTTTGACACAAAGGTAGACAAAGAAATAAAAGCTTTTTAAAATATCAACTAGAAGGTGAGAGGCAAAGAATAATGAGGTAAGATATTATAGAATGAGACTTATTTAGACAACCAGAGATCTGAGTTCTAGTTCAAGCTCAGCAACTACCAAGTGATGTCAGCCTAGTCATGTGACTTCACTGGATCTCAATTTTAAAAGGTGTAACTGAAGAAATTGGATCAAATCCTATGCAAGCTCCTTGCTGCCATGTTCTGTAATTTTTGTCTCAAAACATGGGGGTGTATAACATGGTGCAATAGAGACTAATACTCAGTATTTGAGCTTTTAATAAAGCCACATTAACTATAATGTGTTTAATTATGGAAAAATAGGGACAGAGGCATAATTTAAAGTGTATTTTTACAGAGTCCAACTGAGACACATTCTTTATACCAGAATCTTACTACTTACTGAACATATCAAATCGATCATTACATGATCATAAAACTAATTTTACAGGAAGAAAACTAACAAAATGTTCAAATCCTATCCAAATTCCATGAACATTATTTATCCGATTTCATAGAGGCTAAATCTACTTTATGCCGAACATTCAAATGGTATATGAATTTAAGTCAGTTACCCAAATAGCAGATTGCATCATCTACAGAGAATACCAGACAGCAACTGAGGTTTGTGATATTTTTTCAGGATATTACAGGGTGGTTCATTGTTTCCCATTCTTTTCTTTGGTACCAGTAGTTTCTTTGTTGGTTGCTTTCTCATCACCTTTCATCTTTATCCCCTTCACTCCACTGTGACTCTGGAAGACTTTTACAAAAGGAGACATTTAAAAGAATACATCTTGGACCCCAATGTGAAAAGCCTTTTTATCGTCATAATAGAAATTCCATTAGCTGAATGTGCACATAAAAGTTTGAGCCTTTTTTGTCTGTTTTGAAGCAAACAAAAAATTTCTAGTCATCATTATAGTTTATAAAAGGTCCAAGGTGCTTTATAGCTCAATATTATAGTTTTCAGAGTAAAAAAGGATTTTTTTGTCAGCTATGTCTTATAAAAGGCCATTTTTCTAAAGGCAAGTCTAGTGTTTTTAGTTTCTAATTATAGCAAATATAATATATACAGACTAATTCTTTGAATAATTATTCTATAAAGAAAAATTATGTTATATGTCCAAATAAAATAGTTTATTTAAAATTTTGGAGACATCTATGATGTTGAAAGATGCTCATGTTACATATCTTATTTATTACTTGTCTTTTCTCCTTCTTATTGCAACACAATGCTTCCTTTGACCACTGAAAGCAAAGCTTTTAGGATTTCATTTGAGTGTATCTAAAAAAAGCATCGGTTATGTCAAGGATAAAAGTCCTGGATTTTTTTTTTAACTAAGGAGCATATAGTTGTGCTCAAATTGAGGAACATATTGATATTAACAGCCTTTGATTGCAGAAAAGAAATGCTACCTTTCACTTTCAGAGGACAAGGACAGCATTTTAGTTATACTCGAACTTGACATATTAAAAAAGTTGAAAAACAATACGCGTAAGAAATTAATATTTCTGACCATATTTCAAAATAATCCAGATTTGTTGAATTTCTTAGAATAGCTGAAAATTTCTGAGACTTACTTTACAATATTTTATATACATATATAATAAATTTGGTATATTTGCAACTTGTTATAATTTCATTGTTTTTCATTAGTAAAGTTTGGAGGTGCTTTTAAAAACTGCAGCAAGTAATGAAATTTTTAAAATATATAGATTCAATTTTTATCTAACAGTTATGATGCTTTTCTCTTCAGGTATCTACTGCAAATAATCTTTGTGGCGCTCTAAAACAGAAATAGCTGCTACAAAAACCTACTACTTAATGCCAGACATGAAAATTAAGGAAATGCCTTAGAGCTATACATGGAGTGATATAGACTTAAAGGTCTCAAAACTGTTTGTTTGCAAATGCCTGCCCAGTGTGTACCAGCAACATAAAAATGAAACGTTAAACATCACTTATATCTTTAGAAAGGTTTGCTTTTTATCTTCACAGGATTGCACATGTGACTTACCCTGCCTAGCTACATTAAGGAAGTGTCAAATGTATGACATAATGCTAGTATTTTTGAGTCTACAATAAAAATAAATAAATAAATAACTCCCCTCACTGCAAAAAAAAAAAGAAAAGAAAAGAAAAAGAAAAAAGAAAGGAAAAAAAATCCTGGAGTCTCAAGCTGTAATTAGGATGCCATGAGCAGAAAGTTGTGTTTTGTCAGGTTTGGCCCTGAGCATGTGGCAGCATAATTCTACACTGCTGGTAGAAGCAGGGTGCAGCTGTGCAAAACTCAAATGTTTGTTGTTGTTTATCGTTTAAAGAGTTGCTTTTTTTTCTAACAGACTAATGAAGGGATGTTGAGTACATTTGCACTGGCCAACTGATTGATTGCAAGCTTAACTTTCAATGGATTGAATGAGGTGAAATAAATCAACAAACTACCTAGAGAAAATATTCACTGAGATTTTTTCCCATGACATAAAAATGTGGCTTTGGCTTATAACTGACCATTTAAGTATATAAATTCTACACAGATGCATAACATCTGCACATTTTAAGCACTGATTTATTGCATTTTATATTGTACTTATATTCTGAACTGAGAAAATATAACATCATGTCCACTTTAATTACTAAAATTAAAAGTAAAATTTTTGCAAATACTCTAAGGTGATAAAACACAATACCTAACCCAGAGGGAACCAGTGAGTTCATTGCTAGAAGTAAAATTAATATGAATGAAAGGAGCATAAATTTAAAATGAAAACTCAAGGATGGAAAATCAACTAAATACTAAATAAAATAAATGAAACTTTCATGATGTTCTGAAGGTAGTCTGTTTCAAACCCTGATAAATATTAAAGAGTTCTTGAAATGAAATATGAAAACCACCTTTTCTCCAGAAACTTGACATGAAAAATGTTTTCATTGACTGTGAGGTAATATGATAAGTTTATTTCTATCTAAAGTAAGGATGGTAATTGGAGAGGGTAGAGAGATAAAGGCCACAGAATTATAGAGGGAAAAACATAAGCAAATGTCATAGGAAATCAAAGAGTTGTAGGCATAGAAATGCCACTGTTTAATGGGTGAGGAAACTGAAGTTCAATCAAAAAGGCGAGGGGGATGAGGAAGGTCAGCCCACTGGACCCAGGTGTCCTGATCCTTGCACATATCTCTTTTATGATCCTGGACAACCTCTCATAACAATCGACTCTGTTTAAATGTTCTTAATCTTCTATTGGAGGGAGACAGATTGGCAGTAGAAAACTTTATGAAGTATGTACAAATCTGAAAATAAATAGTTTGGTATTTGGGTTGGTTAAGAGGCTGTGAGGATGTAGAAAACAGGATAGGAAAAAAGGGAAAGAAAAGCAAAAAAGATAAGTAGCATGTGGCATAACAGAGATGAAAGTAAGCAAGAAACCCACAGAGGAAGAAATAGAAGGGAGAGCCACAAGCAGGCAGACAGAAAGGCTCAGTAAGTTTCAAAGTTATTGTTGATCAGGGCTTATGCTCTGCCGCTTACATTTATTATAGGCTTATCTGAAAGCTTGATTAACTTTCTTAACACTATTCACAGCTCTCCAACTGCTTAAGAATGTATAACTTTGAGTCTGCACTCTTTATCAGGTAACAAGCAGAACATTCTGCCAAGGGAGAATGAAAAATTTTAACCACAATGACAATAATAAGAGCAAATCATCTTTAAGTCCTAAGAAAATCAAATCAACAGGCCATTTTCTCACCCTGAGTTCCACTATCCCTGTTTTGAAGAAAAGGCATTGAGTTTCCATCTTTCTTTTATTGTGGGATTTGTAATCAACACTGGACTTCCTATAATAGAAAGTTCCTGATCTGTGAAGAAGATATTTTGAAATTTAAGTCTTATGACCTCTCTTCACTTGAGACACACACACCTACAAAAAGGAAAATTCACTATACATCATGCACTTGAAATTGTTTAAGACGAATGGTGACCTACCAGTGACTATGACAGCCTTTGCTTTTAGTAAAGACTTTTACAAGATAGCAAGTCATACCATGTCCTTGACCACAAAACAAATGAGATATTGGTATTACACTGGAGTTAACTCTTTTTGGAAAACCTCTTACCTGACATTATAATCGGGTCAAAAATCATTTTTTTCTTCACAGTGTAAGACATGATATTCCAAAAAGAATAATTTTATCTCATGTTTATTTGCATACAAATTCAATATGGATCAACTTAGAGTTCATTACTGATGTGGACTGTTCGCATAATTTACATGGGTTGTTGAGATTTCAGTGCACCTATAACTTATTTAATGAGACTGGATATTCAGATTCATCATTGAAATTGCCCTATCTCTAATATTTTTGGTTGTTTTTGCCTGGTCCTAATATTGTTGCTCAATTCTTAAAATATATATATTTCATAGTTATCTGATTACAAAATTTGAGCATGAGTATCAGTGGCACACAAAGGTGGGACCCACAATCCTAGGCCTTGTTCATTTACAATCCATTAAGGAAGACAGAACATATACATAAGAAAACATATACATATTAAAGCCAGAATTTATTTAACAGACATTAATATAACTTTTAATGTTTTTTTTCCTTCAGTGCTTAGAAACCAAACTTCAGGGAGAAACATGAATGTTCCTTTTCTATTCAGACATACCTACTTTTAGTGAGCACTTCACATAAACTATCTCATTTGATCATCATAATACTGTTTATGGAATAGATACTATTATCTTTATTTTGTAGATTAGGAAACTGAAGCTCAGAAAATTTAGATTACTTTCTTAATAATTATAGCTCTTCTTTATTTTTGTAAAAAAAAGGCCTAGAATAAGAAATGCTCTAGAAAAATGCAAATAATTGCATTGTTGTTGTTTTCTTCTAGCTGTGTCAGTGGAAATGGCTGCCCCAGAGGAATATCGCTTCAGTTGACCTCATTTTTTAAAGACCACAGCTCTGTGGCTTTGTCCAGTTCAAAATGGCAGAAAAGGCTCCACCTGGCTTAAACAGGAAGACTTCAAGGTCGACACTTTCTCTTCCTCCAGAGCCTGTGGACATTATCAGGAGCAAAACATGCTCACGGAGAGTTAAAATCAACGTGGGGGGCCTCAACCACGAAGTCCTGTGGAGAACACTAGACAGGCTGCCCAGGACACGCTTGGGGAAGCTTCGGGACTGCAACACACACGAGAGCCTCCTGGAAGTGTGTGATGACTATAATCTAAATGAGAATGAGTATTTCTTTGACCGGCATCCAGGAGCCTTCACTTCCATTTTAAATTTCTATCGAACAGGGAAACTCCACATGATGGAAGAAATGTGTGCTCTCTCTTTTGGCCAAGAGCTTGACTACTGGGGGATTGATGAGATCTACTTAGAGTCCTGCTGCCAAGCCAGATACCATCAAAAGAAAGAACAGATGAATGAAGAACTGAGGCGAGAAGCAGAAACTATGAGAGAAAGAGAGGGAGAAGAGTTTGATAATACCTGCTGTCCTGACAAAAGGAAGAAACTCTGGGACTTGCTGGAAAAACCTAACTCATCCGTGGCTGCAAAGGTATGAAAAACATGGCATTGCTTGCCTGTGTGTGGTCAGAAAAGGCGCTACCTACATTCCAGAGAGTGTAATTTTCTTCATTGTTTTGGTAAGACAGAACAAAATGTAGCTACACAATGAAAAAATATTTTCCCTAATCTTATTCTTCCTGTGTAATGTCATGAAATGGCATTACTCTTTTATAAATAGTATTATGTGTAGAAAGAGCCTGGGCAACAGAGTATGGAAGAGAATACTGGTTTTCCTGGCATGTGTGGTGACTTGGAGATTGAGGAGAAAGCCCTAGCTCAGACCCATCAGGCACTGAGTCATGCGGAAGACCAGGGTCTGAGCTCAATCTTGAATAAAGGGAAGAAGCTGTCATTGAAAGTAGAGGTACCTCTTGGCTTGGTCGTGTGGAGGTTCAGGCAAAGAAGGGATGGTGTGGCCCCCTATAGCTCAGAGGGCTGGCAGGGACACACAGATGAGGAAAGGATAGTTTTATCGAGCTGCGTAAGGAATGATCAATGTCCAGAATGCATCCATTTACCTCCCCTTGTGAGGTCTCCCCAACAGTGGATGTTTTTCCTGTTGGTGAATTATTTTTTTGCAATTGAGACACTACCATATCTCAGAGTTCATGAAAAATTTGCTTAAAATGAAGGTAAATTCATATTTTTTTCATTGTGCCTGCATGTATCTAAATCTCACAGTAAATTTTTTGTCACTGATTCCAGTGCCTAATTCAACTGCATGTTTATATTTATCTAATTTTATCTAGAGATTTGAGGGTTAGCTCACACCAATTTCCATTTTATATAGCTCTGTGTTGTGGTATGAATGATAAGTAAAAAGTCAAAAGAGCCATCTTTAGCTGCAGGAACATAATATTGAAGTTTTTTGCATAGTAGATGAAAATGGAATATGGAATGGAGAAGGAAGAGTGTGTCATCATATGAATTCTTTTGATTACTTACAGTTTTTAAAAGTATCTTTCTTATAAACAGTAATGTTTTACACAGAAATATAATATATATTTAAGCTAAAATATAATAGACCATATGAGCCTTTTTATTGGAAATTAAACTTCTACATGAAAATCTAAAATATACACATAATGTAAATAATCAGCTAATACAGATATCATAAAACTGCTGCTTGCACTGTTTTGTTTTGTTTCTGGTTGACTTCAAAAAGCATTTTACTTTTTAGCCAACACATACACCTAAATGAAATAAAACGCATTTATGTTGTACATAGTGAAGAAATGCATATTTGTGACAATGAAGATTTCAGCTAGGTTTGTTTTTATAGTTATGAATTGTTTACTTTCATTTTACCTGTAAGAAAGAAATGCCACAATTGTAAGTCTTGACTGAGAAAGGCCACTGTTCTTTCCAATGCCAAGTGATTAGTTATATATTTGAGTTACTACTAAAATTTTGAAAGTGAATGAGATAGACTCTGGATTTAAGTGAGTATTGTGGGCGTTAAATGAATTCTTTCAAGACTTTAGGCAACTGAGGAATCTTGTTGCATCAAAAGTTCCAGAGGAAGTTAGCCAACTATGTAAAAGTGAACCAGCTAAGTCAAAGAAAATCTGAAAAGTTAATGAGGTTTATTTGTTTATAACATTATTAACACATATCTAAAGTTAAATACTGTTATGGAAAAAGAATTTGAATACTGGGGTGCCAAAAAATGTGTACACATTTTAAGAGATGTTAAAAGATGTTTGTAATACTCAGAAGTGTGTGGTTGCTGATGGTAAACACTGTGAGCACCCTTGCAATTGCAGAAGTCAAACTTGGCTTGTATTCATCTTTTGTTGGTGGTGTATATCGAGTATTACCATTTTAATACATTTTTTTCTTTCTTAAAATGCATACATTTGTTGACACCCTCTGTATAGATGTATTTTTTTCTGAAGAATTTTTAAGGATAAAATAGGGCTAATAACTTGATTTCCCAGACAAGGAAATTCATTTAATCTCTAAATTCTTTTAGAAGAAGCTGCCATTCCTTAATCTCCAGGAGGGTAATTAGGACAACAACCTGTTACAATATACCATTATATACCTCTGTGCTTCAGATTATTTAAACTTGCTTCAAACTATGTATGTGCATATAGATATCTGCCTACAAACTATACTCAGAAACTAAGGACACTGGTTTCTGAAAATTTAATGTAGCTACAAATAGTAAATTTGTTCCCGAATTATGAATTAAGCTAAATGAATCTTTGCTACCGTAAGTCGATTCTTTATTAAATTGTCACAAAGGAATTAGGTTTGTTTGCTTGTTTACATTTCTGCATTTTCCTTTCTGTTTGAATGGCTAAATATTATGGAAATTATTTATTTGATTATGTAGTAGTTTAGTGAAAGTATTGTTCATTTGTCTGTAGATAAGAACCTTTTAAAAATCACTTTGTATGTTGTCTTCTGTTCATATAAACCACTACTTTCTCCCGTATATAACCTGGAGCAATTCATGTGAGGGCAGTGCTTGTGCAGATATGTCTAAATAGTATTTTCAGAACTTCAGAATAAGGAGGTTTATTATAGCTGCAGTAGGATGACACTCTAGCTCTCACTAGTTACTCTATGGATATATCAGACCCTTCATATGTTGTGAAGCTCTTTCTTACACACTTAGGAGGTAAACTACCTTTAGGGGAGACTGTTTATTTTGACTTTTCAAGTACTGTTTTTCAATTTGGTCATTTAACTGAACATATACTGTATATGAGCTACACACACTTTAAAGTAGACATTTAGACATGCCCTTCAATTATTGTTTTTCAACTTGGTCATTCAGTTGAACATGTACTATATGTGTGCTACATACTTAGACACTCTCTTCTCTTCAGAATTTAATCAATTTTCTGTTATCTTAAACTGGGATTTCATTGGAAATATTTTTTTCTCTTCTGGTTTTTCTATATTTTATAACTTATCTATAATATTTTTGTAATAAAAAATATGAATACTATAAGATTATTTGCCAAATCCCTAGCATAATAGGAAAAACTTTATCCTTTCTAGCAGATGCTTCACAATAGACTAAAATAACCATTTTTGGAATAAGTACTAAATAATTAAGTAATAATTGTTCAATGTATCTATGTGTATCCACTATGACACACAAAATTATTGCAAAGCCCATTGACCTATCATTCTTTCAATATGACCCTGGCAGTAACAATTCATGCTCTTTATAGAACAAGCTCTGGTGTCACATAAGATGATTCTTCTATTCATTGACTATCTGCTGTATAAGTAACTGGAAAAAAAAGCCAAAACAGGGTTTTAAAATATGGTATAATTGAAATGTCTGTATTTAACAAATTATCATTTTTGTACACATACATAAGACTTTTCAAAATATAATGGCAGAACTAATGGAAATGGCTATTTTTAGTTCCCTGGGTTATGATATTATTTGGAAATGAGACACAAGTTTACATATGTATATATATGGGCTTTGCCTTCTTTCAATTCTGTCAGTGTATCTTGGTGACTGAATGTACCCCCATATAGAGACAGTGTATGAAGTTTAAATTTGAGGCAGTTTGTGAAAGTGTGGCCCAGCTGAATGAACCCATGGGATGGCTGGAACAACTCTCTGGGTTACTACAACATGGAATTGGAGGCTTTGGTATGCCTTTCATAGGAACTTGCAAGGGGAGGGAGGAGATAGGCTTAAATGGCTGCCAGTTTCCTGGGCAGTGAATTGGAATTAGACTTGATCTTGCACCACTTCTAGGCCAGGAAAATTTAGTCAGTCTCTGGCTTAGAAACCTTTTTCTCTCTCTTCCTTGGCTTCTTCCCAAAGAAACTGCAGGAGCTCTTCCCCTGTAAATATTGCATACAGTGACTTCAGCCTAAGAGGAGTTTAAAAGCATTTAAGGGGAGTGGGTCCTGTGGCATGCTGTATTCTCAGCCTTTGGGATGAAACAACAATCTGAAGTAGCACAATCTACCTGAGATCTGAAGGAAACTAGACTCATCAACACCACATAGGGCCCTCACTCTGGATGTCTGAAGAAGGTCAAGAATAAAGGAAATCAGCTGGGCTTCAGGCAGACCCAAAAAGTCTTATCTGAGCCCTCTGGGGCAAGCCTCAACGTAGGAGTATAAGTGAATATGATGTGCAGGACAACAGGCTGATCTCGGGTGTCAGGTCAGGAAGCTAGACTTGTAGGCATTTCTTGTTGGATAAGAACAACAGAAGGTAAAATCTGCAGAGATATATTTCTGTTCATCTGCACCAGATAGTAAGAGCAACCCAACAGCTTCCCCCAGTGTACAGAGTCAAGTGAGGGCATTGCTTATGATCTGCTTCTCACTCCTCAATTTCCTCATTTATCCATAGCTACCACTTCCTCCTACATTTTTCTCCATTGTTTCCTCCCCTTCTTCCTCCTTCTCCTCTTCTTCCTCCTCCTTATCTTCTACCTCCTCTACCTCTCCCTCTCCCTCTCCTTCTCCCTGTGCTCAGGAAATGGCTCTATTTTAGCTTAAGGAAAGAGGGGAATGATTGATAAAAGAAATGTTTTCCCACATTTTTTCATTAATAGCCTCCTAAGGAGAAAAATTAAGTTAAATTTAAATTTTCACTAATGAGTAAAGAAAAACCAACTACTAAGGAATAAGACAACAAGATTTTTTCAGATAGGATGGAGTTCAGAGGACCACGAATGATTGTAATATGCAAGTTTTTCACCCCTCCTCACTAGAACCAATTTACTCCCCTTGGGAGAGTTATTGTGTCCATAGGAAATGTATGGAACAAAGGGAAGGAAATGATCATGTTTTCTGCCTCCGTCTCATTCCGTCTACATATCCACATGTCCATTGTTACTAGCACGGTCCAACACAGCACCTGAAGAAAGCATTGGCAGTGGTACAGTTGGGAAGAGGCCTTAGTCATCCTTGAATCAAAGAGGGAGTGCTTGGTGGCAAATGAGGATGCCACCTGTTTTGCCGGCCTATTAATAATAACTCGTAGAGGACCAC